GCCACTGGTTCTTCACGTTCAGCAGATGTAGATGCCACTGGTTCTTCACGTTCTGCAGATGTAGATGGCACTGGTTCTTCACGTTCTGCAGATGTAGATGCCATCTGGTTCCTCACGTTCTCAATGTAGATTGCCACTGGTTCTTCACGTTCAGCAGATGTAGATGCCACTGGTTCTTCACGTTCAGCAGATGTAGATGCCGCTGGTTCTTCACGTTCTGCAGATGTAGATGCCACTGGTTCTTCACGTTCAGCAAATGTAGATGTCACTGGATATTCACGTTCTGCAGATGTAGATGCCACTGGTTCTTCACGTTCTGCAGATGTAGATGCCACTGGTTATTCACGTTCTGCAGATGTAGATGCCACTGGTTCTTCACGTTCTGCAGATGTAGATGCCACTGGTTCTTCACGTTCTGCAGATGTAGATGCCACTGGTTCTTCACGTTCTGCAGATGTAGATGCAACTGGTTCTTCACGTTCTGCAGATGTAGATGCCGCTGGTTCTTCACATTCTGCAAATGTAGATGCCACTGGTTCTTCACGTTCTACATATGTAGATGCCACTGGTTCTTCACATTCTACATATGTAGATGCCACTGGTTCTTCATGTTCTGTAGATGTAGATGCCACTGGTTCTTCACGTTCTGCAGATGTAGATGCCACTGGTTCTTCGCGTTCTGTAGATGTAGATGCCACTGGTTCTTCACGTTTTACAGATATAGATGCCACTGGCTCTTCACGTTCTGCAGATGTAGATGCCACTGGTTCTTCACGTTCGGCAGATGTAGATGCCACTGGTTCTTCGCATTCTGTAGATGTAGATGCCACTGGTTCTTCACGTTTTGCAGATGTAGATGCCACTGGTTTTTCACGTTCTGGAGATGTAGATGCCACTGGTTCTTCACGTTCTGTAGATGTAGATGCCACTGGTTTTTCACGTTCTGTAGATGTAGATGCCACTGGTTCTTCACGTTCTGCAGATATAGATGCCACTGGTTCTTCACATTCTGTAGATGTAGATGCCGTGGTTGAACTTACGACTCTCGGTCAGAACAGGCAACTCGACATACGGACACAGGTGTGTTCGTATCTCTCAAAGTTCGTAAGTCGAATGTTCGAAAGTAGAGGAGTCCCTGTAATCAATATAATCTCAACGCAAAATGCTGGCGAGGTTTCCAAGTCAGGGGGTGCCCCCACTCCCCTCCCCCCCCCACTGGGGATGGGGGAGGGGGGCACTGCCAAATGCATTTGGTGCCACAGTACCGCACTTCATAGGCAGTGCTGCTGCTGCTACTACTCGCTACTAAAGCCACGTTCACCAAGAGTCTGTTAAAGGCTATATGGGGAGGGATATTTGTGAGTGTGTACCTGTGTGGGTGTGTGTGTGTCTACACATGTGTGGGTGTGTGTTTGAGTGTGTGTCTACACGTGTGTGGGGTGTGTGTGTACGTGTGCTTGAGTGTGTGTACGTGTGTGGGTGTGGGTGTGTGTGTGTACCTGTGTGGTGGTGTGTTTGTGGGGAGCGGTAGTGCAGCGGTTAGCGCGCTGCGCTATGAACCTGGCGACCCGGGTTCGATTCCTGCTCACGGCTTACACCAGTGACGATTATCTGAACCGGTCCTGGGCCTCCCCTAGGTCGACTCAGCCTTAAATGAGTACCTGGTGCGGTGTGTAAACATCGTCACTAGGGAGACAAAGGCGGTCGGGCGTGGTGCTGGCCACCCACCCCCTCGTGTACCGTTCTGGCCTTCATAGTTGCTCGCTAACAGCACTTGCCCCTACAGTCTGTTAAGGCTATACGGGGGATCTTTGATCTTTGGTGGTGTGTTTGAGTGTGTGTACGTGTGTGGGTGTGTGTGTGTACGAGTTGGCACAGCAGGGGGCACAGGTGGTGCATCAGCCAGCCATCTCAGCCATCTCAGTCAGTCGACCCGTGGCATCTGGGTCTGCCCCGTGACCTCCTGCCAGCGGGCGTTCGACACTTCACGTGGCCTCAAGGTGCACATAGCCTGGCACAAGCGTCGTGGTGACGTCACCGCCACTTAGTGGCGAATGGCGGTTGTTGTTGTTGTGAGTACGAGAGTGTGTGTGTGTCTGTGGGTGGTCAGTGTGTGTGTCTGTGTGTGCGTGTGTCTGTGTGTGTGCGTGTGTGCGTCTGTGTGTGTGTGGGGAGCGGTAGTGTAGCGGTTAGCGCTACGCTGCACTACGAACGCGGCAACCCGAGTTCTATTGCTGCTCACGACCAACACCGGTGACGATTATCTAAACCGGTCCCGGGCCTCCCTTAGATCGACTCAGCTTTAAATGAGCACCTGGCGCGCACGGTGTGTAGTAAACATCGCCACTGGGGAGACAAAGGCGGCCGGGTGTGGTGCTGGCCACCCACCCCCTCGTGTGCCACAGCGCCGGCAGCCTTCACAGGCGGTGCTGCTCGCTAACAGCACTTGCCCCAACAGTCCGTTGAGGCTACACGGGGGAGCTTTGTCTGTGTATGTGTGTGAGGTGTTCGCTAACGGCACTTGCCCCAACAGTCCGTTGAGGCTACACGGAGGGGTTCTTCGTCTTTGCGCGTCGTTGTGGGGAGCGGCGGCGCAGCGGTTAGCGCGCTGTGCTACGAACCCGGCAGCCCAAATCCGCATCCCGCCATGTGCCACAGCGCCGTTGAGGCTTAAGGGGGGGGGGGGGTCTTTGTGTTTATAAATGAACACGCTACCCTGGGACGCGTGTTGAAATTACCTCCTTGATTGTGTGGTTCAGAATCTCCCGATCCCTGGCCAGGTCATTCAGAAGCTTGCACTGTTGTTGATACTGCACACGCAGAGACACGGAGCAAGGGCGAGAGGGGTGGGCACAGGGTGTGAGACACAGGGAGAGAGTGAGAGTGAGACGCAGGGAGTTGGTGAGTGAGAGTGAGTGAGTGAGTGCGAGTGAGTGTGAGTGAGTGAGTGTGAGTGAGTGCGAGTGAGTGAGTGTGAGTGAGTGCGAGTGAGTGAGTGTTAGTGAGTGAGTGTGAGTGAGTGCGAGTGAGTGTGAGTGAGTGCGAGTGAGTGTGAGTGAGTCAGTTCGAGTGAGTGAGTGTTAGTGAGTGAGTGTGAGTGAGTGTGAGTGAGTGTGAGTGAGTGTGAGTGTGAGTGAGTGAGTGCGAGTGAGTGTGAGTGAGTGTGAGTGAGTGAGAGTGAGTGAGTGAGTGTGAGTGAGTGTGAGTGAGTGAGTGCGAGTGAGTGTGAGTGAGAGTGAATGAGTGTGAGTGAGTGTGAGTGTGTGAGTGAGTGAATGTGAGTGAGTGAATGTGAGTGAGTGAGTGAGTGTGAGTGAGTGAATGTGAGTGAGTGAGTGTGAGTGCCACCTGCTCCAACTTCATGGGTAGCTCCAAGCGTAGCCGACTCAGCGTCCGCGTTGTTTCATCGATTCGCTTGTCCAGGTGAATCTTCCCCTCCTGTGCATCGGCCTGCTGCTTCCCTACAGACCAACATACGCACAGGGACATGCACACACGCACACACAGGCACACACACACAGGCACACACACACACGCACATACCCAAGTACATGTACGCACGCACAGGCACACACACACGCACTTATGCACACAACAACAACAACAACAACCGCCATTCGCCACTAAGTGGCGGTGACGTCACCACGATGCTTGTGCCAGGCCAAGTGCACCTTGAGGCCACGTGAAGTGTCGAAAGCCCGCTGGCAGGAGGTCACGGGGCAGACCCAGGTGCCACGGGTCGACTGACCGAGATGACCGAGATGACTGGCTGATGCACCACCTGTGCCCCCTACTGTGCCGACTTGCTGTGCTTTAGCCACCCGGCGCTCCGCTCGTTGTTGTGAGCGTCGCTCCTCCGCCCTCCGTTGTTGTTGGAGGGCGACTGCCTCCAACTGCCCAGTAGCGTCCTTCACGAGCCTCCTCCACTGAGGCCGATCTTGACACCGCTGGTACCAGTCATCGGCAAGTCCACTCAGCTCCACGTCCTCCTGTACCACATCACTCCATCTCTTCTCCAGCCCGTGCCGCGCCCGTCTAGCCCCCTCGATCCGGCCGAACAAAAGCTGTTTAGGCATGCGGTGGCTGGGCATGCGGGCTACATGACCCAGCCAACGCAGCCTTGCCTGCCGGAGGAGCTCACTGATGGGACTTTGGCCAGATCTTTCAAGGATTTGTGAGCTCCTCACATAATCCAGCCTGGTTAAACCCAGGATGGATCGTAGGCAGGCCAGCCTAAATGTTTCCAACCGGCGAAGATGCTCCACCAGGGGGGTCCACGTCTCGCAAGCGTAGAGAAGTGAGGGAATGACCGTGGCCGAGAAGACCTGAAGCTTCGTGCGGAGCGACAGACCAGGTAGCTTCCACACAGCGTTACGCAACCGATGAAAAGATATTGCCGCTCGACTGATTCGGAGTGAGACCTCTGCTGATAGACTGGAGCCGGTCATAAGCACACTGCCCAGGTATGGGAAACTCTCCACTCTCTCCACAACTGCCCCATCACCAATTGGGAGTTGTGGGGGTGGAGTGTCCGATGGTACAAAATACCCAGGCAGGTGCTTAGTTTTGGTGGGGCTGATGGTAAGGCCCCACCTCTTAGTGGCACGCTCCAGTCTCAGCAGCAGCGTCTCCAACTCCTCTTCTGAATGAGCAGCTATTACCAAATCATCGGCATACATAACGTGGTTGACCAATAGGGAGCCATCCCTTGATCGCACCCGGGCGTCGATCAGCCTCCCATTATATCTGTACTTATGCACACACACACACAGGCACACACACACACGCACTTACGTACGCGTACGCACGCACACAGACACACACGCATGCACGCGTACGCGCACGCACGCACGCGTACGCACACACACGCATACACACACATGCAGACACACGCACACACGCGTACGCGCACACACGACACCCCATTACCACACTGGCACCGCCACGTGCACACACCGTCACATACGATGCCCGCCCGCCCGCCCTCCTGCCACACGTACTCATGCGGTGCTGCAGCTGGTTGTCCAGGCTGAACTTGATGACCTTTTCGGAGATGCTCCTCTCGGCTCCGAGCCGGACCAGGTTGATGTCTCCGCAGTTTCCTGCGACGCGTGGCACAGACGTCGCAAGGATGAACTCCCTCGGCGTGGAGCGGCCATCGCCCCCGGCTCACCAAGAGAAGGCAGCAGAGCCGCAAGGGGCTGAATCTCCACGCTTACCGGGTAGCGTTTGTGTGCGTGTTAGTGAGTGCGCGAGTCTGTGCGTACGTGTGTGTGAATGTGTACGTGTGTGTATGTGAGTGTGTGAATGTGCGTGTATTTGAGTGTGTGTACGTGTGTATGTGTGTGTGTGTATGTATGCGTGTGTGAATGTGTACGTGTGTGTGAGTGTGTGAATGTGTGTGTACGTGTGTGTATGTGAGTGTGTGAATGTGTACGTGTGTGTAAGTATGCGTGTGTGAATGTGTACGTGTGTATATGTGAGTGTGTGAATGTATGTGTACGTGTGTGCATGCGAGTGTGTGAATGTATGTGTACGTGTGTGCATGTACATGTGTGTATGTATGTGTGTGTGTACGTGTGTGTATGAATCATTCAGACTGGCCTGCCTACCATCCAGTGCCGGATGAAGTTAGTGGCCTATGTTACAAAGGGGCCTTAAATTAATTAATAAAAAAACCGTAAATAGAAAAAAAACAATTTTTTACTTGCAGAGTAAAACTATTGTATTTTTGTCATTTGCAATACAGGCAGATAAAAACGACAAATCGCTCACCTTAAACACCCAGTCGTTGCTAAAAGTTGAAGGCAGTATAGTACCATAGCAAGAGCCAGTGCAGAATCACCGAACCGGAATTGAAAGCTTGAAATCGTTTAGCGCGGAGCCCTTGAAAGTGCGGAGCCCGTAGCGTATGTAGCTACTTGTGCTACTAGGATAATCCGGCACTGCAACCATCCATCACATGGCTTGAACCAGGCTGGATTGTGTGAGGAGTAGGCCTCGGCAGAGTAAGGTAAAAGATAAAAAGCAACGAGCCTACCTTTACCCTACCTTTTACCCTTACTCCATACAAATGACCCAATCACAGGGTAATTACTAGGGAACTACTACACATGAAGAAGGTTTGTAACAGGTAAATGCTGGGTAGAGCACTTTATTCTTATAGAACACTCTCGATGATTCCAATTTTACACGCTTGTTGTTGTCGTATCCTCAAATCTTGTAACTAAATTTTAACCCACTTCCCAATGTCGTATCGATTACAAACTTGGTATACTTATGTCACTGATGACAATACTATATTCTATCATAAAAAAGAATATTTACATTCTTTTTTATATGTTATGTTTCGGCTTGGGTCTAATTGTCCACGGTCAACTCACGTTGGCTGTAAATCACCACGGTCGCTTACGTTGTGGCAAGCCTCGGGGCCACTTCCTGGAGTCGTGGAGTTCTTCCATTACTAGTACGGTACATTTCATTAAAGCGTGTTTTTTTAAAAAGTTGTTTTAAAATATTACTTATTAAATGGAGGCCACGGACTGCGCCACGGACTGCGCCACGGAGCTTAAAGCGGTAAACAAGGTACCGTATTTACCCTACCCTTTACCTTACCCCCTTGGCATGTCGACACCTTTACCCTTCCACCCGGTAAAAAGGGTAGATTACCTTACCTTGCCGAGGCCTAGTTAGGAGCTCACAAATCCTTGAAATATCTGGACAAAGTCCCATCGGTGAGCTCCATCAGCAGGCAAGGCTGCGTTGGCTGGGTCATGTAGCCCGCATGCCCAGCCACCGCATGCCTAAACAGGTTTTGTTTGGCCGGATAGAGGGGGCTAAACGGGCACGCTAACTTGCTCACTCACACACTCTCACACTCACTCACTCGCTCGCTCACACACACACACGCAGCTACGTACCCCGTGGTGCCGCCTTGTTCTGTACCAGGTCCTTGAACTTAATGATGATTCTCTTCATGAGGTCGTCCACCGTGCCGTTGCTCGGAGCGCACAGCAGGATCCGCATCGGGCGTGGTGCCCGCAGCCCGGAGGTCGGTGGCGGTGCCAACTGCTCCTGGCCCTGCGGGTTGGAACGGCACCACCGATTGTTGCTCACCCCCCTCGTCATCATCACCGCCCACTCACCCACCCACCTCACCATCGCTCACCCACCCCTTCATCATCAGTCACGCCTTCGTCATTATCATCACGCACTCACCTCACCATCATCATCAATCACCCACCAAATTTCCCGCCAACACTACCAGTCGCGGAACTCCGCACAAAGCTAAGAAAACAAAAGCGTGATGAACGAAACTTAAATTATTCAGCATCCCTCACCTCGGCAAGCAGCAGGCGGCACAGGATGCCCATGATGGTGGAGGACTTGCCGGTGCCAGGAGGGCCATGCACCAGGCAGATGTGCGGCTGCTGCTGTTGCTGGCGCTGCTGCTGCTGGTGCCCCGCATTGCACCCGAGCACCATGTTGCAGACGGCGGCGATGGCCATCAGCTGCCCGCTGTTGTACTCCTCCTGACAAGAGGGCACAGCGGCCACAACCTCCCCGTTAGTCGCGCTGGGCTACGCACGGCGGTGCCAAACGAAGGTCAATGAACAGCCACAACAACGACGACCGCCATTCGCCACAAAGTGGCGGTGACGTCACCACGGCGCCTGTGCCAGGCTGTGCACATTGAGGCCACGTGAAGTGTCGAACGCCCGCTGGCAGGAGGTCAAGGGGCAGACCCAGGTGCCGTGGGTCGACTGACTGAGGCGACTGGCTGATGCACCAGCTCTACCCCCTACTGTGCCAACTCGCTATGTTTTAGCCACCCGGCGCTCCGCTCGTTGTTGTGAGCGTCGCTCCTCCGCCCTCTGTTGTTGCTGGAGGGCGACTGCTTCCAACTGCCCAGCAGCGTCCTTCACGAGACTCCTCCACAGAGGCCGATCTTGACACCGCTGGTACCAGTCATCGGCAAGTCCACTCAGCTCCACATTCTCCTGTACCACATCACTCCAACTCTTCTCTAGCCCGTGCCGCGCCCGTTTAGCCCCCTCGATCCGGCCGAACAAAAGCCGTTTAGGCATGCGGTGGCTGGGCATGCAGGTTACGTGACCCAGCCAACGCAGCCTTGCCTGCCGGAGGTGTTCACCGATGGGACTTTGTCCAGATCTTTCAACGTACGTACACATGCACACACTCGCACAGAGCATCTCCGATTGTCCACGGTTGGCTACGCAGGGTGCGAAAGAAGCTCAGCGTACACACAAACACCGCAGCCACTCACATCTCACCATCGGATCTATATTTTTTTATTTCACCAGGTAAGGGCCAACAGAGCTGTTGTAGGCCTTCGTCAGAAGTGACCTGGCCACCAGAAATGAGAGCGCTTCATCAATAACGCTCACAGATTCAGACTAAGGCACACCCCTATGACTCGAATACTCCAACACACTCAATGCTCACAGAGGCAGACCAAGGCACCGGTGGTCGTGTACGCGTGAAAAAAACAACCCCCTACCTCCTCGCGGTGCCGGACGGGCAACGCTGTTGTGGACAGTGCTGTGGGGGGGGAGGGCCAATTCCGATTGGCCTCTCCCCTCATAGCGTCTGTGACCACCACAGTGGCTAAATGGGGGCTCTGGATGGGTGCGAAGGGCTGGTAAGCCCTCCTTCAATAAATTACCACGAAACCACGACTAAAATATCTAACTAATAAGCTTGTGCCGGAGGCCCTGGGTGGCCAGGCGTCTATGACGTCTCCTGGCCAAACCCCATCTGGCGGAGCCAGGAGATTGAATCTTTACCCTCGGGGCTCCTCCAGAAACAACGACAAGCCACTACGGATGGCCACGTGGAATGTACGAATGCTCACTGCGGAGAAGAGGCTGCCACTCCTCTGTCGGGAGCTGGACCGGTACCGCCTGGATCTCTGTGGTATTCAGGAGGTCCGGTGGACCAGCTCTGGCTCCTGTCACCATGAGGGGTGGACAGTCCTATACTCAGGGCAGGAGACTGCCAAACAACAAGGTCTTCTTCTGAACGAGCGTGGCGGTGAGGTGTGGGAAGCTGTAAGCCCCAGGCTACTTTGGGCTTGCCTTCCCATCAACCGGAGGCGAGAACTGGTGGTCGTGGTTACTTATGCCCCCACCGAAGACTAACATCCGTGGAGGGATGCAGGCAAGGCCGATGAGTCAGATGCCTTCTATGACCACCTGTCACAGGTGCTGGCTAAAGTGGCCCCTTGCGATAGAGTCATCTTGTTGGGTGACTTCAATGCCCGAGTTGGTCATGATGCTAGCACCTAGTCTGGAGTTATTGGAAGGCATGGGCCAGATCAGCTCAATAACAACAGTAGGAGGCTCCTAGATTTTTGTGCAGCCCATGGGCTTGTAATTACCAACACGCTGTTCCGGCATCGGCACATCCACACAACATCATGGATGTATGCCGGGTCCAAGCAAGAACATCTGTTGGACTACATAGTGACGGATCAGCGGATGCGAGCCCATGTCCTTGACACCAGGACCTACCGTGGAGCTGATCTGCCCTCTGACCATCGACGAGTCATCTGTAAGATGCGCCTGCCATTCTTCCACTCCGGTGGTGGGTGTACACCCAAGACCCCATTCCAACCTAAGGTGGCCTGGTCTCAGAAGATGAATTTCATCATCGCTTGCGGCTGGGGTTGGCATCGTCCCCCACTCCTGATGTCGAGGGTAAATGGGCGAGATTTAGGACTGTGACTCATGCAGCTGCAATGGCTGCTTTGGCTACGCGGTCCAGACCTCCCTAGAGACCCTGGCTGACAGAGGAGGTGTTCAGGATGGTTGAGAAAAAGCGACAGGCCCACTCTAACCGTCTACAGCATCCCACGTCAGAGAATGAGGAGGCTTACCGCAGCCTTCGCTCGGAGGTTCGGAGAGCAGTGAGGCGCTGCAAGGATGGGTGGTGGTCGCGGATTGCTGAGGAGATGGAGTCTGCCTCAGTGGTCCACGATCACAAATCCCTATTTAACCCCATCAAAAAAGTAACCTGCAGCGCCACACCTATTACCATCATTAGGGGGAAAAACTGTGATCCAATCTCAGACCGCCAGGAACAGGTTTGCAGATTTGCTGAGCATTTCTGTGAGGTCCTGGGGGAGGGGAAATCCCTCAGCCAGGAAAACATCGTGACACAAAGTGGGGATGACCCTGCTGAGGCTGCGGTGCCCCAAATATTGGAAGAAGTCACACCCTGTGAGTGGCTGGCTGAGGTGCCATCTGTTGAGGAAGTACTTAAGGCGATCCAGAGTCTGAGACCAGGAAAGGAAACGGGCAGAGATGATCTCCCAAGCGAAATGCTGAAGGAGGGAGGCGTTTGTGCACAGACTGCCCTACATGACGTCATAACAACAGTCTGGGCCACTGGACGGGTTCCGCAGGATTGGAAGGATGCCGTGGTGGTCGCCCTCTGTGGAAGCTGCCTGGTCTGTCGCTCCGCACGAAGCTTCAGGTCTTCTCGGCCACAGTCATTCCCTCCCTTCTCTACGCTTGCGAGGCGTGAACCCCCCTAATGGAACATCCTTGCCGGTTAGGCTGGCCTGCCTACGATCCATCCTGGGTTTAACCAGGCTGGATTGTGTGAGGAGCTCACAAGTCCTTGAAAGATCTGGGCAAAGTCCCATCGGTGAGCTCCTCCGGCAGGCAAGGCTGCGTTGGCTGGGTCATGTAGCCCGCATGCCCAGCCACCGCATGCCTCGGCGTCTTTTGTTCGGCCGGATAGAGGGGGCTAGACGGGTACGGCACGGGTTAGAGAGGAGATGGAGTGATGTGGTACAGGAGAACGTGGATCTGAGTGGACCTGCCGATGACTGGTACCAGCGGTGTCAAGATCGGCCTCTGTGAAGGAGGCTCGTGAAGGACGCTACTGGGCAGTTGGAGGCAGTCGCCCTCCAACAACAACGGAGGGCGGAGGAGTGACGCTCACAACAACGAGCGGAGCGCCGGGTGGCTAAAGCACAGCAAGTTGGCACAGTAGGGGGCACAGGTGGTGCATCAGCCAGTCATCTCAGTCATCTCAGTCAGTCGACTCGTGGCATCTGGGTCTGCCCCGTGACCTCCTGCCAGCGGGCGTTGGACACTTCACGTGGCCTCATGGTGCAAATGGCCTGGCACAAGCGTCGTGGTGACGTCACCGCCACTTAGTGGCGAATGGCGGTTGTTGTTGTTGTTGTGTGCGTGTGCGAGCGTGTGTGTGTGTGTGAGTGTGTGAGCGTGTGTGTGCGTGTGAGCGCATGTGTGCATGCGTGTGAGCGCGTGTGTGCGTGCATGTGAGCGCGTGTGTGCGAGCGTGTGTGTGTGCGTGTGTCCGTGTGTGTGTGTCCGTGCGTGTGCGCGTGTATGCATGCGCGCCGCTCACCCCGGGCCTCGGCAAGCCTCCGGTGGCCTCTGCGAGCGGCGTCATGAAGACCGCCGGCCGGGGCGCCAGCAACGCCGCGGCCAGCGGGCTGCGGGGCAGCGCCAGCAGCGCCCAGTAGCGGCGCTCCGCCGTCACGACCGCGCCGGCGGCCTCGCAGCGAACCTCCCGCTCCAGCAGCGCCGACAGCGGCCCCACCGTCTGCACCGACACCGAGAAGCGGACGTCGGCGGCGCCGTGGGGTCCGCGCCGAGCCGGGTCGTGCGTCACGGCGGAGCCTGCGGGGGAGGGGCGGGGGGGCGACGGTGGCGGCGTTTGTGACGACTATGATGATGATGACCACAATGATAATGACGACGACGACAACCATGACGACGATGACGTTAACGACGACGACGAGCCGCTACGTTGAGCTGCTACGATTCGCGATAGCCGGGGGGGGGGGGGGGGGGGGTCGGTTCTGAAGGGCTACACAGCTCAGCGGGCCTTACCTGGTACAATAAAAATAGTTTAGCTTCGTCTATGCATCTCTATGTGTCTCTATGGGGATCTATGTGTCTCTATGGGTCTCTATGTGTCTCTATGGGTCTCTATGTGTCTATATGGGTCTCTATGTGTCTATATGGGTCTCTATGTGTCTCTATGCACTTATAGAGTATTTGCTTGCTGCTATGAATGTCCACAGCGACCACGTGAACAGAGAGAGACACACAAACTCCAAATATACAGAGCAGCAGGCATCGTCAGGCTCAGGGTCGAACCCACGACCTCCTGTAGACCAGGCGAGGTAGTTAACATTTTACAGCCACCGTGATGATGAGAGACACACAAACTCCAAATATACAGCAGCAGCAGGCATCATCAGGGTCGGGATCAAAGCCCCTGCACACCGGGCGAGGTAGTCGACGTCTCCTAGCCACCGGCGGCGCTCTCGCCGGCGCTGCCAACGGCGCTGCTCTCACCAATGCCCTGCTGGGTGATGCGGCACACGTAACCCAGGTACGGCACCTCCCCGACTCCGGCTCCCGACTCCGGCTCCGGCTGTGGGCAGCCACAAGATGAGGACGTCGCCAAGCCCCAACGGAGGAGAGGCTGCAGCGGCCGCGGCCGGAAGGATCCCTGCGCAGAGAAAAAAAGTGTCTCACCGAGGGTCTCACGAAGGGTCGGTGGTGGAGCAGTCAGCGCCACGCTGCGCTAAGAACCCGGCGACCCGATTTAGATTCCCGCTCACAGCCAACACCGGTGATAGCAATTATCTGCATCGGTCCTGGGCCTCCTCCCCTAGGTCGGCTCAGCCTCAAATGATTCACCAGTGCGGTGTGTGGTAAACATTGCCACTGGGGAGACAAAGGCGGCCGGGCGTGGTGCTGGCCACCCACCCCCTCGTGTGCCGTGCCGGCCTTCATTGGTGCTGCTAATCGCTAACAGCACTTGCCCCGACAGTCAGGCTATACGGGGGATCTTTGCCTTTGTGCGAGTGAATGAGAGAGTGAGAGAGTGTGAGTGAGTGACAGTGTGTACGTGCGTGTTAACATGAGATAGTGCGTGTTAACATGAGTGAGTGCGTGCGAGTGAGAATGAGTGACAGTGCGTGAGTGACTCTGCGAGTGTCAACGTGAGTGGCTGTGTGAGTGAGTGACTGAGTGTGAGTTTGAGTGCATGTGACCATGAGTGAGTGTGTGAGCAAGTGAGAGAGAGAGAGAGTGTGCGACTGCATGAGAGTGAGTGTCAGTGTGTGAGTGCCAGTGTGTGAGCAAGTGAGTGAGTGTGTGGGTGAGTGAGCGGGTGGGTGAGTGAGCGGGTGGGTGAGCGGGTGGGTGAGTGAGCGGGTGGGTGAGTGAGCGGGTGGGTGAGTGAGCGGGTGGGTGAGTGAGCGGGTGGGTGAGTGAGCGGGTGTGTGAGTGAGTGTGTGAGTGAGTGTGTGAGTGCCAGTGTGTGAGCAAGTGAGTGAGTGTGTGAGTGAGTGGGCGGGTGTGTGAACGAGTGAGTGTGTGAGTAAGTGAGCGAGTGTGCCAGTGTGTGAGTGTGTGAGCAAGTGAGTGAGTGTGTGAGCGAGTGAGTGGGCGGGTGTGTGAGTGAGTGAGTGTGTGAGTAAGTGAGCGAGTGTGCGAGTCTGTGAACGAGCAAGTGTGTGTGTGTCAGCGAGTGAGTGAGTGCGTGTGAATGGGTGCTTGATAGCGTGAGCGAGTGAGCGAGTAAGTGACTGCGTGACTGTATGAGTGAGCGAGTGTGTGAGTGACAGTGTGAGTGACAGTGTGAGCGAGTGAGTGCGTGATAGAATGAGTGAGCGAGTGTGTGAGCGTGTGAGTGAGTGTGTGACTGAGTCTGTGAGTGTGTGAGTGAGCGAGTGTGTGCGTGTGTGAGTGACAGTGTGAATGAGTGAGTGAGCGAGCGAGCGAGTCCGTGTGTGAGCGAGTGAGTGACAGTGTGAGCGAGTGAGCGAGCGAGTTACGTTCAAACTCTCCGCACGACAGCCCTTGCCGGTTCGATGAGCACTTGAGCCGCATCCGGAACGCCGGGCGATTGCGGCGCCGCTCCTCTGCCATGTCCGATGCCAGCTGAACAAAAATACAAAGATCCCCCGGGTAGCCTTCACATACCGTTAGGGGCAAGTGCTCTTAGCGAGTAGCAGCACCTATGAAGGCCGGCACTGTGGCACACGAGGGGGTGGGTGGCCAGCACCACGCCCGGCCTGCCACCCTTTGATAATAATAAAGGTTATTTTGGTTTCAATCGCGAGAATATAAATGTGTCGTTAAGCCTCCACCACCTGACACAGCCACTCACCCTCACCTAACCCACCCTCTCACCTGCCCCCCCCTCTCACCTGCCCCCCACCCTCACCTGCCACCCCCTTCAACTGCCCCCACCCCCACCCTCACCTGCCCCCACCCTCACCTGCCCCCCCCCCCTCACCTGCCCCCACCCTCACCTGCCCCCCACCCTCACCTGCCCCCACCCTCACCTGCCCCCGCCTCTCACCTGCCCCCACCCTCACCTGCCACCCCCTTCAACTGCCCCCACCCCCACCCTCACCTGCCCCCCACCCTCACCTGCCCCCCCCCTCCCCTGCCCCCACCCTCACCTGCCCCCACCCTCACCTGCCCCCGCCTCTCACCTGCCCCCACCCTCACCTGCCACCCCCTTCAACTGCCCCCACCCCCACCCTCACCTGCCCCCACCCTCACCTGCCCCCGCCTCTCACCTGCCCCCACCCTCACCTGCCACCCCCTTCAACTGCCCCCACCCCCACCCTCACCTGCCCCCACCCTCACCTGCCCCCACCCTCACCTGCCCCCACCCTCACCTGCCCCCCACCCTCACCTGCCCCCACCCTCACCTGCCCCCGCCTCTCACCTGCCCCCACCCTCACCTGCCACCCCCTTCAACTGCCCCCACCCCCACCCTCACCTGCCCCCACCCTCACCTGCCCCCGCCTCTCACCTGCCCCCACCCTCACCTGCCACCCCCTTCAACTGCCCCCACCCCCACCCTCACCTGCCCCCACCCTCACCTGCCCCCCCCCCTCACCTGCCCCCACCCTCACCTGACCCCCACCCTCACCTGCCCCCACCCTCACCTGCCCCCGCCTCTCACCTGCCCCCACCCTCACCTGCCACCCCCTTCAACTGCCCCCACCCCCACCCTCACCTGCCCCCCCCCCCTCACCTGCCCCCACCCTCACCTGACCCCCACCCCCTCACCTGTTCCCACGACTCGAGCAGCAGCAGCGGCAGGAAGACCTGCACGTAGGCCTCGTGCGACGGGAAGTGCAGCGGGACGCTGAACCGCGGCTCCGAGCCGCAAAGGCCGCTGGGAGGGCCGCCCACCCCTCTCTGCAGGGCCTGCACCTCCCAGCGCAGCACCTGGGCGGGGTGCACGCGGTGGCGACCAGATGTTAACTACCTCGCCTGGTACGCGGGAGGCCGTGGGTTCGATCCCGATCCGCTGACGACGCCTGCTGTGTATTTGGAGTTTGCGTGTCTCTCTCTCTCATGATCATCACGGTGGTTGGGAGATGTTAACTACCTCGCCTGGTACGCGGGAGGCCGTGGGTTCGATCCCGATCCCCTGACGACGCCTGCTGTAAGTTTAGAGTTTGCGTGTCTCTATCTCCGTGGTTGCGTGGATTTTTCTCCGGGTTTCTCCGGTTTTTCCCTCGATGTTTAGAATCGACATCATGCGTTTAGAGTGTACGTACGCATGTGTGCTGAACTTCTGTCCAGCGTACGTAGCCAACCGTGCTCACCAGAGGTGCTCTAAATGTGCACGTGATAAGCAACTTCGTTGGGCTATCATCTGCGATGGCCTGTGGCTGAAAAAATAACTACACAGCTCAGTGGGCCTTACCTGGTGAAATAAAAACACAAGTTCCATTTTAGTTGAGGATGCAGTTTGGGCGAGTGGGGGTCGCTCAAAGACAAAGGTCCCCTGTATAGCCTTAACAGACTGTTGGGGCAAGTGCTGTTAGCGAGTAGCAGCACCTATGAAGGCCGGCACGGCACACGAGGAGGTGGGTGGCCAGCACCACGCCCGGCTGCATTTGTATCCCCAGCGGCGATGTTTACTATAACAAAGCTACACCAGGTGCTCATTTGAGGCTGAGTCCACCTAGGGGAGGAGGCCCAGGACCGGTGCAGATAATCATCATCGGTGTTGGTGGCCGTGAGCGGGAATCGAACTCGGGTCGCGCGGTACGTAGCGCAGCGCTAACAGCTGCACCACTACCGCTCCCCACAAAATATCGTCACACAGACAACTCGCTCGCATCCTGCGGAACACGCGGAGAACCAGACAAACTCCACGAAGAAAGTCGCCCGAGTTGGGAGTTCGAACCCGGGGTCCTTTTCGCGCTCATCACACAAATGAACGACAGTACCTCGGCTGTTGATCGCGTCAAGCAGCTATAAACCACTGCCATCACGCGGCACTCCGGTCATCCTTGCAGCCGCAGCCGCAGCGGCGGCGGCTTTTGGCTCACCATCATCATCGTGCGCTGCTTTCAGACGCGCCGCTTCTGCGGCCGTCTGGAACGCTCTTCCCCTTCCGATGTTAGGAAGACGCTGGGAGCTACGCTGCACTTTTAAATAATCGTCCAGATTGACAAAGTCATTTCTTTAGAACTGCTTCTTGTTGTGTTTGTTGTGTTTAGTGTTGTTGTCCTTCCTCCCACGCACCTCCGATTAGCGCGGTTGGCTACGTACGGTGGTGCGAAAGAAGTTCAACATTCAAACACTGCCCATAGACTCAGCACTGCCCATAGACTCAACACTGCCCATAGACTCAACACTGCCCATAGACTCAACACTGCCCATAGACTCAACACTGCACCATAGACTCAACACTGCCCATAGACTCAACACTGCCCATAGACTCAACACTGCCCATAGACTCAACACTGCCCATAGACTCAACACTGCACCATAGACTCAACACTACCCACAGACTCAACACTGCACCTCCGATTAGCACGGTTGGCTACGTACGGTGCGAAAGAAGTTCCCCACACACGAGGACGATTTGATTGTTTGCGTCCCACTGCGGTGCAATAGGGCCGCTCCTGTGGGCCGCCAACTCCTCTCTGGGTGCGCCCATCCCTGCTAGAGACCCCACCCAGTCATGTCGGGGGGCGCCGCGCTGGCTAGGAGATGTTAACTACCTCGTCTGGTCTACAGGAGGTCGTGGGTTTGATCCCGACCCTTCAGCATCCATATTTCTATAAATATATAAAACATTATTTTTCCAATAACCATGAAGTTTGGGGTGCGTTTCACTTTGCAGAGCACACGAGTGACCACCAAGTCACACTGCCGCCCATATTCAAGTGTCGGTCAGGATGGCGTGAGAGGGGAGAGAGGAGAGGGGAGAGAGGAGAGGGGAGTAGGGAGCCGTCACCTGGTTGATAAAGAACAGCGGTTCTGTGATGGCGCCGAAGTCGACTCCCCCGTGGGGGTCACGGCCCCGGGCGACGCTCTGCTCCAGGGCTCGCGTCTCCACCACCGCGGCGCTCCTCACCGCCGGCGCCGCGCCACCCACCTCCATCCCCGCCGCCGCTGCCTCCGACAAAACGCCGGCCGCCGACAAAGCGCCGGCCGGGCAAAACCTCCCCCGGCTGTCGTCTATCAGCGACAGGATGCCATCCAGCGGCGACAATCCGCCGCCCGGCGCCGCCGACGGAGGCCTCTGCGCCGGCGCGGCGCCGACTCTGGCCCCGGTGGGCGCCGGCGGCTGCGCGACCGCCGCCTTGGCGATGTCGCCGGTGAGCAGGGCGTTGCGCGACGGGCCCGGCCTGGCGAACACCCTGGCCGTCGCCTGGGCGCGCGGTCCGGCGTCGCCGGGCGGCGCCGTCCCGAGCCGGCGCTCGTCGGCGCCGCCGGCGCCTTCTGGCGCTTCGTCCACCTCCATGGGGACGACGTCATCGCCGCCGGGGTCGTCTTCGTCGACGTCCATGTCGACGGGGTCGCGCTGGGTGAGGTTCAGGAGGTCGCCGTCGTTCCACTCCCCGTCATCGCCCCACCACCGCCACCCCGGCTCGGCCCCGCCGCGCTCTACGAGCTCGGAGGAGCTGGTGGCGTCGGTGGCGGAGGCGGAGCCACTCGCGTTATCTTTGGCGGCCGTCGTGGCCGCTACCGCCGCTACCGCCGCCGCGAATGTTCCCGGCTTGAAGTGAACGCCGGGTGGCAAGTCGCCGAGGACGGCCGGCAGGCCGCTCCGCCGCTCCGCCGTCGCCTCCTCACCCGCCTCGTCGTCCGAGAAGCGGAACTCGTCGCGGTCGCTCATGTAGTGCTCCTCCTGGCTCTGCTGCGGGATGGGCGGCGACTGCGACAGCCGGAAGAAGTTCTCGTCCTCCAACTCGTCGCCGCCTCTGGCGCCGCCGTCGTTCCGCCAGGCGGCGGCGGAAAGCGGCGGCGCCGGCGGCACGCCGCCCGCCGCGCGGTCCTCCTCCTTCTCGCGGTGCACCCTCGCCGCTCTCTCGGCGCCGGCACCGCCCCCGGCACGTCCCCTCCCGTGCGTGCTCCCGCCGCCGCCGCCCAGCTGCTGGGCGCGCCGGCGCGTCTCCTGGCAGGCGAGCATGTACGTGTTGCCACGCAGCTTCGCCAGCGGCTTGGGCGAGATCAGCTTGGCCTTCCTGGGCGCCTTGGCCACTCCGCTGCAGCGCAAGCGCTGCACGCGCGCCAGGCTGGTCTGGGAGAGGTCAGGGGCCGTGCGCGTCGTCATTTTGAACCCCGGCCGGCGAGCCGCCGCGGGCGGGAGCGTCGGCATGGCCGACGAGCCGCGGCCAGCTCCATCGACCCTTCCGGCCCGGGGAGCCGCCGGCCGCCTTCCCCCTCCCGTCCTCCTTGCTACTCGGCCGAGGAGCCGGCGCCACCGTCGGCTTCGCGGCCGGCGCCACCGGCACCACCGGCCACCACCGGCGGTTTCTCCGCCGGCATCGCCGGCGGTTTCTCCGCCGGCATCGCCGGCGGTTTCTCCGCCGGCATCGCCGGCGGTTTCTCCGCCGGCATCGCCGGCGGTTTCTCCGCCGGCAACGCCGGCGGTTTCTCCGCCGGCATCGCCGGCGGTTTCTCCGCCGGCATCGCCGGCGGTTTTCTCCGCCGGCATCGCCGGCGGTTTTCTCCGCCGGCCTCGCCGGCGGTTTCTCCGCCGGCCTCGCCGGCGGTTTCTTCGCCGGCCTCGCCGGCGGTTTCTTCGCCGGCCTCGCCGGCCGTTTCTCCGCCGGCCGTTTCTCCGCCGGCCGTTTCTCCGCCGGCCGTTTCTCCGCCGGCCGTTTCTCCGCCGGCCGTTTCTCCGCCGGCCTCGCCGGCGGTTTCTCCGCCGGCCGTTTCTCCGCCGGCTTTGCCGGCGGTTTCTCCGCCGGCACTGCCGGCGGTTTCTCCGCCGGCATTGCCGGCGGTTTCTCCGCCGGCACGGCCGGCGGTTTCTCCGCCGGCATTGCCGGCGGTTTCTCCGCCGGCTCTGCCGGCGGTTTCGCCGCCGGCACTGCCGGGGGTTTATCCGCCGGCTTAGCCGGTGGTTTATCCGCCGGCTCAGCCGGCGGTTTCTCCGCCGGCATTGCCGGCGGTTTCTCCGCCGGAATTCCCGGCAGTTTCTCCGCCGGCATTGCCGGCGGTTTCTCCGCCGGCATTGCCGGCGGTTTCTCCGCCGGAATTCCCGGCGGTTTCGCTGCCAGCGTCGCCGTCGGCTTCTCCGCCTTCGGCTTCTCCGCCAGCACCACCGTCGGCGTCACCGTCCTGTCCTTGGCGGCGCCGGACGCCGGACGCCGCTCGTCGAAGTACTTGGAGATCTTGGCAGCGGGCCCTTCGTGGCGAGACGCGCCGGTATTGGCCGCGCCGGCGCCGCCATCGGCCGCCCTCTTCCTGTCCGGCAACCTGGCGGCACCGCTCGGTCGATGGGAGATGACGCCAGAGGTGACCGGCGCTTCTCGCTTGGGGACTTTGACGGTGACAGCGGCGCCGGGGGACCGCACGTGGCTCCCAAGAGTCGGAGCGGCGGTCTGGAACGGGGCGCCGTCGCTCGGCGCAGCGACCGGGCTGACCCCCCTCTCCTCCTTCTTGACCTTTGCCTCCTCCTTCTTGACCTTTGCCGCCTCTTCCTTGATCCCTTCCACCTCCTCCTACATCCACCACCTCCTCGCTGTCGCCCCTCTTCCCCTCCCCCTTCTCCTCCCGCTTGGCCACGAGGCTCTGGGAGTGCCTCAACTCGTCCAGCTCAAAGTCGTAGAGCTGCGTGTTCAGATCGTCGTCGTCGTCGTCCAGGTACTGCGAGAAGTCCAAGCCGTCGTCCAGCTCGTTGTCCGGGTCCAAGGAGCGCCGGTCCAGCGGCTCCAGCGGCTCCAGCGGCTCCAGCGGCTCGCTCTTCACCGCCGGTGCCATTCCTCTGCCGTCGCGCTGGTGGCCGAGCGGCGGCGTACGACCGCCCTCGCCGGGCCGGCGCCCGCCTCGTCGCTCCTCCGCGGCCGCCGACGTCACCTTCTCGCCGGCTCGTTTGCCGTCTCGCCGGCTGCCGAGCACCTCCGTGCAGGCGTCCTCGCCTGTCGAGTCGGTGTCGGTGATGAGGATGATGTCGTCGCACTCTCTCTCCGCGCCGGTGCCTCCGCGGGGAAGGAACTTGTTCTGGGTGAGGGGGACGTCGTCGCCGTCGCCGTCGTCGTCGTCATCGCCGCCCTCCGAGCCGATCATCTCGATGTCGTAGCTGTCGCCACCGTCCCAGGCTGCGCCCGGCGGCGCCGGTGGCGCGCGCTCCACGGCTCTCCGCTCGCCGGCGGCCGGCACGGAGGCGCCGGCGCCGCCCGTCCGTCGCGTCCCCGCCTCCTCCCCATCTTCGTCGGCCCCTTCGCGCCATGCGCCGGTGCGGCCCGGGACTTGGGGCGGCCCCAAACCGCCGGCGCCGAGCGCGTCGGCTCCCGCCGCCCTGTCCGTTTCATCGGTCGACTTCCCCGAGAACCACGGCTTCAGGTTGGGCAGCTTCCTCTCCTGCTGCTGCTGCTGGCGCCGCTGCAGCTTGGCGGAGCTCGGGCGCGGCGCGAGCAGCATCTCGGTGCGCTGGGCCCGGTGAACTCGCAGCTTCGCCACGACGTCGGTGAGACAGCCGAGCAGGCGGTCGCGACGCTCCAGGCACAGGGGCCACGCTCCGGCGCCGGCTCCGGCGCCGGAACCGCCGGCGACGCGCATGCACATGTTGATGTCGTCCAGGAACGGCTGGCAGGCGGCGCGCAGTCCCAGGCGACAGCCGTCGCGCAGCAGCGTGCGCACCAGCTGGAGGCAGGCCCGGCGAGCCGCGTCGACGCTTGCCGACGCCGACGCCGGCCGCCCCGGCGGCGCCGCCGGCGGCGCCGCCGCCACCGCCATCGCCGCGGCGGAGACGAAGGCGCGGAGCCAACGGCCCGAACTGCACCACACCAGGTGCATGTAGCCGCGCTTGTAGTGCAGCTGCACGACGGCCGCGAGCGTCAGCAGGAAGAGGGCGGCCAAGGGGTCGTCGTCGGGGTCGTCGTGGAGACGACGCCACGGCGACGGGGCGGGCGGCATCGTCGCCGCGGAAGACGCCTGCGTCGCCTTCTCCAGCAGGTAGTGCATCACCTCGCTCACGTAGCCCATGCCGAACTCGTTGAGGTCCATGACGGAGCGGGCGAACGGCAGCAGCCACAGGAACGTGGAGTGGTGGCGGCGCAGCGAGCGGCCCTCCTCGGTGGCCAGCACGTGCCGCAGCGAGGCCATGTCCGACAGCACCGAGTCGTCGCCGGGAGGAGGAGCAACGGGGGAGGAACGTGCCGGCGGTGGCGCCGCCGGCGTGAAGGGGTTCAGGCGCTGCGGGTCAAGAGGTGAAACGCTCACGGGCAAGCGCGCACAGGAGGAGAGCAACAGTGGGCCTGACTAACTAGAATATAAAGATAGTTTAGTTGAGATTTATTCATAGTGACTTCCTTACCTTTCCTATGCAGGAGAATGTAATTGGTTTCCACGAATCCGGCCATTCAGCGAGTAAAGGAGATACACGTTAAGGGCTTAATTCGTCCCAATAGAATCGAAAAGTAACCCTACACTACAATACACACTACACTACTTCACACTACACTAATATACGCCACTACACACTACACTATATTATACACTACTACTATACACTACACTACACACTGCTGGCATTAACGAATTGAATGAATGGGGTTAGACACCGCTGAGCTGCTGTGTAGTTTTTTACACGCTTTTATTTAACTCACTCGGTCTGTTTATTGCTGTTGTCGTATCCTCAAATCTTGTAACTCCATTTTAGCCTACTTCCCAATGGGGTATCGACTGCAAACTTGGAATACTTATGTCATACTGATGACAATACTATATTCTATCATTAAAATTAAATCTAAAAAGTATTTTTAAACATTCTTTTTTATATGTTATGTTTTGGCTTGGGTCTAATTGTCCACGCTCAACTGACGTTGGCTGTAAATCAACACGGTCCCTTACGTTATGGCAAGCTTATGAGTACGGGACATTTCATTAAAGTGTTTTTAAAAAAAAAGTTTTTTTCAATATTACTTATTTCAGAAGCTGTCGCAAATGATGGCAGCTCAACCAAATGACTTATCATCACCATCATCATCATCACGTGGACATTCATATGAGCAGACACAACTCATTGCACACAAAGTGAACCCCAATATCTCGCTGATCTCGTCAAAGAGCGTAAACCGTGATCACGTTAACTCGCAGCAGCGGCTTCGGGCTGACCCCGAACAAAGACGGTGGCCACCGCATCGCGCGCTTGCTGAATACGCCCGCTTCTGCGGCCGTCTGGAACGCTCTTCCCTCCGATATTAGGGTGCTATGCTGCACTTTGAAATCATCATCTAGATAAGCAAACTAATTTCTTGAGAACTGCTTTTAGTGTTTAGTTTGTTGTCCTTCCCCCGAAACCTCTGATGAGCACAGTTGGTTACGAATGGTGCAAAAGCCGTTCAACATACATATTTTCCCGCGCGCCGCTGTGGTTGCAGAAAATGTCGGCTCCGTCTGCAGGCGCATAATGGAGAGCTCCGGCGCGCGCCGATGACGCGGGCTGCGCTGTGTGGAGATCTCTGGCCACGTGGTGTCCGCGCTTCCCGCCAATTGGTGGCGGACCCTCAAAAATGGCGCCAACTTCAAAACTTTTGGCGCGAAGCGCCTTCTGGCGGGATCCCTCCAGCCGCGCTCCCTCCTCCAACCCCGCAGCCGTCCCTCCGCCCGCTGGAACGGAGATTTCCGCCAAAATCGCAGCGGCGGCGAGCAGCAACTCCGCCAGGCGGGAGTGTGCGTCCTGTAGGCTGGTGTCGGAGGCAAGCGGAGCATCGGCCATCGCCGCGAAGTGCTGCATCGGCGGCAACTCCTCGTCCTCTCCTCCCGAGGTTGGTGTCTCCGGTACGCCGTCGTCTCCCCGATCTTGCTCGTGGGTACGGGTAGTCTTCCTTGTGTCCATTCTTCTTGAAGACAGGTTTACTTCTGACGCCAGTTGTAAAGTAGTAACTCGGCGGGAGACGACTTCACGGGTAGCACACTCTTTTATTTCACCAACTTATAGTTACACGGGTGACTAACACCCACTTAGTTACACGGGTGACTAACACCCACTCAGCTACACGGGTGACTAACACCCACTTAGCTACTCGGGTGACTAACACCCACTCAGCTACACGGGTGACTAACACCCACTTAGCTACTCGGGTGACTAACACCCACTCAGCTACATTGACACGGGCTCTTACGCCCCGTAGCCTTCCGGAACACACCCGGCCGGGGTGTCCGTCTCGGCTCTGGGTACCACCGTCCCGACCCACACGGGCGTCGGACTACGGGTCCCCCAGTCTCGGCTCCGAGCCACACAGGGCCCCGGTCCTGACAAGGACGGCGGGACTAGGGGTCTCGGGCCACTACCTCCTCCACTCCGTCTTCGGTCTTCAACTGGTTAACAACAACCTCGAGTGCTCTCGCGCGTCCCCCTTTATGCACCTCCTGCGGACGTCGCTGAGAGCACCCATCCTATTTGACCAATCACTGCGCGCTGGCTACGATCCTCTTTTCCCACCTTGTGTCAGCGCGCCTCACCACCGGCGCGCGCGTCCATACCACGCCCACATCGCGTGCCCAACCCCGCGCCCCGTGATCCATCACTGTCGGCGCACGTCAACACCACCACTACATCACCCCCTACCACATAGCTCGCAGCCGACCCGGCTGCTATAAAAATATACAACACCCCCTCCCCACCATGTGTGCCCCGTAACACAACAACAACAACATAACAACACAACACAACACGAACACAGCAATCCGCAAAAATCAGCAAATGCCACACCAACAGCAAGAACAATATGTACAATCCGGCGAGTGGCAACAATAAATGTGTATGCAGAAAGAAAAAAAAAGTTGTATTTTTATTATTATTATTATTTTTTCTTTTCTCTCCGACTCGTGCAGCGTCCCAATCTTTCCGAGCGTCTCTTGAACGGGACATTACCCCGGCAGAGGGGGAACACGGCGGCGAGGTCGGGTTTGAAGAAAAAAAAAAATCTTTTTTTCATGAAAAGTGTTGTGTCCTAGCCCGAGTCCGCCTTGGCGGTCCGTCGTACGGCACCAGACGCGGTTGACCGTCCGGTGGTGCCGGCAGTTCAGGAAGGCATGGGCCAGGCATCGGGGCTCCGCGCGTGCCGCGGGGTTCCGGTTCCCGACGGTCAACAGCCGTCAGGTCCGAGACACCTGGGGGTGGGTCAGGTGGAGACACGTGAGGATCAGCCTGCGAACCATCCCTCCCCGAGTCGACGGTCACATCACACGCTCGGTCGTTACGGCACAAAACGGGGTCACGCGGCGCCGCGTAGGGTTTCAGTCGGGAGGGGTGCACGTACCAACGGCGTTTTCCCCATTTAATCTGTATACTCTGGGGTCGTGCAACCCGCACAATTTCCACCGGTCCCCTCCATGGTCTCAACAATTTGGGGGATGTAGCTAACGGTGCATGTGGACAATGCAGCCAGGCCTTATCGCCTGGTTCCCAATCGTGTGTATGCACCCTCCGTCCATGCAATCGCTCGTTCGCGATCTGCCGAGACCGCGAATTCAATCTCGCAACCTCTCGCGCTTCAGCCAATTTGGCGATATTAAACTTGATATGGTCTGCCAATTTAGATTTTGCACGCGGCTGGGAAATCCCCAGTTGGACGTCCATGGCCGGATCGGCCTCCCGCCCATACATAAGAAAAAATGGAGAAAACCCCGTCGCCGCATGAGGGGCCATTCGATAGGCCGCTAGTACCCCCGGTACCTGTAAGTCCCAATCCACCTGGTCGTCGCAGACCTGTTGGCACAGCATAGACGTAATCGTCCTGTTCAGACGTTCAACCATACCGTCAGTCTGCGGGTGGTACGGGGAGGTACGTACTTTCTTTGTACCCAACAGGTCGCACACCTCGCGCAACAAAACGCTCGAAAAATGTTTCCCTTGGTCCGTCAGCAAGCGATCGGGGGCGCCTTTGTCCAAAACATAACCTTGGACAAAGGCGTCCGCCACTGCCGCAGCCGACTGGTTGACGAGTGGCCATGCCATGGGCCAGCGGGTGAAGTACTCTACGCCAACCAGCAGGAACTTATTTCCCCGAGGTGTAGCGGGAAAGGGCCCCAAGATGTCTAACGCGACCAATTCGTTTGTGCGCGAAACCTGAATGGATTGCAGCGGTGGATTAGCCGCTATTGGTGGCGGTTTTCTTTGGGCGCACCCTACACATCCCTTAAGAATGTTCGCCACGTCGTTGCCCATCCCCGGCCAATAGTAGTCTCGCTGAATGAGGGCGAGCGTTTTGTGAAACCCCAGATGCATGAGTCGTTCATGAGCAGCCAGGACGACCCTACCCCGCATAGCAAACGGCACCACGAGCGCGTGACGCCGGGACATGTTGTCCCACTTCATCAAGAGGCCCTGTCTGCACACCCAGGAACCGACCCGCGTTTCCCCTCCCTCGGGATCGTCAACCTTCCGACGTAGCGTGAGTAGGGAGCTGTCGGCCATTTGCAGACGGCCCCACTCGATGAGAGGCAACGCTAACAGCGAGTCCCTCCCCGTGGGAGCGTCGACCCCCGTAGTATCCGTGGCGGCGAGCACAACTTCCGCGGGGACAGCGACAGAGGGTTTACACCACGCCGATCCTAACAGACATGCGCATTCCGTACGCGGCGGCAACCGCGACAATGCATCCGCATTCGAGTGGCGCAATCCCTTGCGGTAAATCGTCGTGAATTGGTAGTCCTGAAGGACCTCCAACCATCGGGACAATTGGCCGGATGGCTGCGCCACCCGCATAGCGTATTGGAGAGCCGCATGGTCCGTGCGAACCGTAAAATGACGGCCGTAAAGATACGGCCTGAATTGCTGTATAAAAAACACAATCGCCAGCAATTCACGACGTGTCACGCAGTAGCGTTGTTCCGCGGGGGACAGAACCCTGCTACCGTAGGCGACCACCCATTCGACCCCCCCGACCACCTGTGAGAGCACTCCCCCGATACCCGTGTTACTGGCATCCGTGTCGAGCACAAACGGTTGCGTGAAATCGGGGTAACACAAGGGGGGAGCCTGCACCAAGGCGTCACGAAGGGAGCAGAACGCGGCCTCCTCTTCCGGCCCCCAGTGAAACCGCACCCCTTTAGCCGTCAAAGCGTGCAGGGGCCTGGCTATGGTGGCAAACTGCTTGACAAAACGACGGTAATAGGAGGAGAATCCTATGAAGCTGCGGACTTCAGTGACAGAGGTTGGCGTTGGCCATGAGCTGACGCAGTGCGTCTTAGCAGGGTCTGTCGAGATCCCTGAACGACTAACGATATAGCCCAAATACCTGACCGATTCCCGAAGCAGAAAACATTTAGCCGGTTTAAATTTAAGCTTAGCGGAACGCATCCTGAGGAACACCGCTCTCAGTCGCTGGAGGTGCTCCTCAAAAGTCCGGCTGAAAACGATGATATCATCGAGGTAAATCAAACAGGTGTCCCATTGGAGGCCTGACAAAACCAATTCCATGAGCCTCTGGAACGTGGAGGGAGCGGAATGTAAGCCCATGGACAATCGGTTGAATTCAAATAGGCCTCCCGGTGTCCGGAAAGCGGTTTTTGGTTTCGATTCGTCATCGAGGGGCAATTGCCAAAATCCCGAAAGCAAATCGAGCGTCGAAAAAAACTGTGCTCCCGCCAAGGCATCCAGCGACTCATCCATCCTGGGGAGCGGATACGCATCGGCCATTGAGATTTTGTTTAGGCGGCGGAAATCGACACAGAACCGCAAGGACCCGTCCTGTTTTTTAACCAGGACGATAGGAGCACCCCACGGACTGGAAGAGGGCGAAATGATGTCGGCCGCCAACATGTCATTAACCGCCGACTGCACATGCTCCTTCTCGGCTGGACTGAACCGGAAGGGATTCTGTCGAATAGGGGCCGCATCCCCAGTAACTATGTGGTGGCGCAACAGGTCTGTGCAGCCAATATCGTACTTGTGCCTGCTAAACACGTCAGCGAACTCGAGTAGCAAGCCCCTCAATGCACCCAACTGCACACTGGACAAGTTACTGGACCCGGCACACAACGAGTCCAACCACTCTGTCCCCTCCTCACTTTGAGGATGCGTATCGAATCGGCGTGAGCAACGAGCTGTTCCTCGACGGGTAGCGGCGCGGCGCGAGCCAGCACCGTTCCCTGCGTAATCACGGCCGGCCGCGACCCCGTATTCAGGACCATAACGAACGGCTCACTGTCCCCCCTCACCATGGTCTGGGCCACCGCTAAGTCGAGGCCCCCTTTAGCTCTGTTAGACGGCCCCAGCAGAACTCCCTGTGCCCCCGCATCTACCCCGAGGGGTTTTCTCAACCGAAGGGGTACCAACATTTGCGATCCCGGGGGCACCCGTACAGTCTGGGTTGCCAGCGCCTGCACCGTCGCACAAACCGTGCGTATCTTAGTAGGACTCGTCAAAAACGCAACCCGCCGTCCCGATGGAAGCTCAATGCAGGCCTGATCTATGAGAATTTTGATGGGCATTTTAGACAAAGTCCATGCCTAGTAAACAAAGAACGGCCAGCGATGATGATACAAAAATAGGACCCGCCAATTTTATATCGCCAATACAAATAGTCGCCCGAATCTGGCCGATGATTCCCAAGGATCCCCCGTTCGCCGCGTAAAATGGTACGTCCACCGGCAGAAGGGGTCGACATTGGACGGGAAGAATGTTATAAATAAGGTCCGAAATGATAGTGGCCGACGCACCCGTGTCCACAAGCACCCGGACCTCAACCCCGTCAATAAACCCCGTTACCACGGACGACCCGGCCGACGCAGCCAATGTCCTGTGGGCCAATTCGGACCATTCGACTGCTTTCGGGCCATGTACGGACCCCTCTCGCCGAACCGAACCCCCGGTGTCCATACGCGGTCCCCCCACCGCTAAGCGGCGACCCGAACGTGCCGTGTATGTGGACCGAACGTGTGAGGTGCCGCGACTTGCCGGGTTCAGCTGGGATGTCTTGTGGCCCTGGTCGTCGTCCGGACGTGGTCCCGTGTTGCGCTGACGCGGGGCCCGGCACCCGGACGCGACGTGGCCCCGAAGGCCGCAGTTGTAGCAGACGACGAGGGACGTCGTAGGTTTCGGTTGCTCCAGCTTGCGGGATGAACGTGTGGGCGAACGACCTCCCGTTCTCCACTCCCCCGGTCTCGAAACGGCGAAGGCCTCCTCCCGAGCCACAGCAGGCTGAGGTCCGATGACCGTGGCGGCCGGTGCCCCGTTCCCCGCCGATGCGCAGACGACCGTCGGCTTGCGCTTGAGGACTTCGTAAGCGTGAATACTTGTGGCAATCCCCAGGAAGCAGATGTCCATTTCGTCCGCCGTATTGATGGGAACTCCCAAGTCGTGAGCCAACGCCAGCAGCTGCTCCGTCACCATGGCGTCCTTCCCCTCCTTGCCCATGCGGGGAAAAGCTGAGTCCGCCAGGGCGAGCAGCGCCGTGCGATAGGCGAGCGTTGTTTCTCCAACCACCTTTGGCCGATCGTAGAAATGGTGGTGACAGGTCGAGGGTGGCCCGAACACCTTAGCCATCAGGTGTAGCGCGGCCTGGAGCGTTGAGCGGGACGACCTCGGGGCAGATGTGAAGGCTGCAAGCGCGTCGTCGTCGAGCATCGCTGGCAGCGCGCGCAGGGCAGTGGTGTCGGACCACCCCGACATTTCTTGATGTGCGAGGAACCTTCGCTGGAAGGCTCCCCAGTCGCCCCCGTCTGCCTTGAACGCCGATAGCGCGGGCAATCGTTGCTGGAGGACTCGGTCGTCGTCGTCGGAACGATTTTCCCGCGCGCCGCTGTGGTTGCAGAAAATGTCGTCTCCGTCTGCAGGCGCATAATGGAGAGCTCCTGCGCGCGCCGATGACGCGGGCTGCGCTGTGTGGAGATCTCTGGCCACGTGGTGTCCGCGCTTCCCGCCAATTGGTGGCGGACCCTCAAAAATGGCGCCAACTTCAAAACTTTTGGCGCGAAGCGCCTTCTGGCGGGATCCCTCCAGCCGCGCTCCCTCCTCCAACCCCGCAGCCGTCCCTCCGCCCGCTGGAACGGAGATTTCCGCCAAAATCGCAGCGGCGGCGAGCAGCAACTCCGCCAGGCGGGAGTGTGCGTCCTGTAGGCTGGTGTCGGAGGCAAGCGGAGCATCGGCCATCGCCGCGAAGTGCTGCATCGGCGGCAACTCCTCGTCCTCTCCTCCCGAGGTTGGTGTCTCCGGTACGCCGTCGTCTCCCCGATCTTGCTCGTGGGTACGGGTAGTCTTCCTTGTGTCCATTCTTCTTGAAGACAGGTTTACTTCTGACGCCAGTTGTAAAGTAGTAACTCGGCGGGAGACGACTTCACGGGTAGCACACTCTTTTATTTCACCAACTTATAGTTACACGGGTGACTAACACCCACTTAGTTACACGGGTGACTAACACCCACTCAGCTACTCGAGTGACTAACACCCACTCAGCTACACGGGTGACTAACACCCACTTAGCTACTCGGGTGACTAACACCCACTCAGCTACACGGGTGACTAACACCCACTTAGCTACTCGGGTGACTAACACCCACTCAGCTACATTGACACGGGCTCTTACGCCCCGTAGCCTTCCGGAACACACCCGGCCGGGGTGTCCGTCTCGGCTCTGGGTACCACCGTCCCGACCCACACGGGCGTCGGACTACGGGTCCCCCAGTCTCGGCTCCGAGCCACACAGGGCCCCGGTCCTGACAAGGACGGCGGGACTAGGGGTCTCGGGCCACTACCTCCTCCACTCCGTCTTCGGTCTTCAACTGGTTAACAACAACCTCGAGTGCTCTCGCGCGTCCCCCTTTATGCACCTCCTGCGGACGTCGCTGAGAGCACCCATCCTATTTGACCAATCACTGCGCGCTGGCTACGATCCTCTTTTCCCACCTTGTGTCAGCGCGCCTTACCACCGGCGCGCGCGTCCATACCACGCCCACATCGCGTGCCCAACCCCGCGCCCCGTGATCCATCACTGTCGGCGCACGTCAACACCACCACTACACATACACACGACACTACACACACTGCACTATACACTACACCACCATACTAAATTGACAACTCATTTCTTTAGAACTGCTTTTTTCTGTAGAGTTGTATTGCCCTTCCCCCCCACACCTCCGATAAGCCACGGTTGGCTGCGTACGGTGTGAATAAAAAGGTTCAGAGCACGTTGCGTACGCACGCAGACACACGTACCTTTGTGCGGAACATGATGTCGGACTGGTAAACAATCTGACTGCACGACAACCCGTCGTCATCGCCCGGGTTGTGTTTTATCTTTCTTTGGCTAAGGGGGGGAGGGGGGGAGACGAACAACAGAAATCCATAATACAGTTTTTTGGGCTAGATCTCGTAAATATATATAAGTGACGCGATCAAAGCCAAGGAAAAAAAAAACCTGCATTATGGATGATATTGGTCGCGAAAGTCTACGCGTTAAATTGAACAACGGAATATTAATCGACGACGACGACGTGAACACTCGACACGGGGACCTCGTGAACACGGAGCAATCACTGAGCGTTGTTGCGCACAATGTAGGAGACAACGTTCAATGGCAGCTCAGTGGAATTCTGCACAGCAAAGTAACATCATTAGCGAGATGCAGCATCTGCAACATGAGGTCGCCCTCGTCACACGAGCACATAAAGTGGAACCATAGAACACACAAACTCCACTCACTCACTCTGTAGAACAGGGGTAGAACACACAAACTCCACTCACTCTGTAGAACAGGGCTAGAACACACAAACTCCACTCACTCACTCTGTAGAACAGGGGTAGATCACACAAACTCCACTCACTCACTCTGTAGAACAGGGGTAGAACACACAAACTCCACTCACTCTGTAGAACAGGGGTAGAACACGCAAACTCCACTCACTCACTCTGTAGAACAGGGGTAGAACACACAAACTCCAATCACTCACTCTGCAAAACAGGGGTAGAACACACAAATTCCACTCACTCACTCTGTAGAACAGGGGTAGAACACACAAACTCCACTCACTCACTCTGTAGAACAGGGGTAGAACACACAAACTCCACTCACTCACTCTGCAGAACAGGGGTAGAACACACAAACTCCACTCACTCTCTCTGCAGAACAGGAGTAGAACACACAAACTCCACTCACTCTGTATAACAGGGGTAGAACACACAAACTCCACTCACTCACTCTGCAGAACAGGGGTAGAACACACAAACTCCACTCACTCTCTCTGTAGAACAGGAGTAGAACACACAAACTCCACTCACTCTGTATAACAGGGGTAGAACACACAAACTCCACTCACTCACTCTGTAGAACAGGGGTAGAACACACAAACTCCACTCACTCTCTCTGCAGAACAGGAGTAGAACACACAAACTCCACTCACTCTGTATAACAGGGGTAGAACACACAAACTCCACTCACTCTGTATAACAGGGGTAGAACACACAAACTCCACTCACTCACTCTGCAGAACAGCGGTAGAACACACAAACTCCACTCACTCACTCTGCAGAACAGCGGTAGAACACACAAACTCCACTCACTCACTCTGTATAACAGGGGTAGAACACATAAACTCCACTCACTCTCCTGTAGAACAGGAGTAGATCACACAAACTCCACTCACTCTGTAGAACAGCGGTAGAACACACAAACTCCACTCACTCACTCTGTAGAACAGGGGTAGAACACACAAACTCCACTCACTCTCTCTGTAGAACAGGAGTAGATCACACAAACTCCACTCACTCTGTAGAACAGCGGTAGAACACACAAACTCCACTCACTCACTCTGTATAACAGGGGTAGAACACACAAACTCCACTCACTCACTCTGCAGAACAGCGGTAGATCACACAAACTCCACTCACTCTCTCTGCAGAACAGGGGTAGAACACAAACTCCACATGCTCTCAGCATCAAGACCGTCATGCCGGTTATTGTTGTTGTTGTCCTGGTTGTTGTTTTCTTTACCAGTGTGCCAGGCGCACGGCGTCCACCTCGTGCTGGTAGCTGGCGCTAGAGGTGACTTTGTGGAACACCTGGATGGGGTCCATGGAGTGGCCGCCCCACACCTTGGAGCCCAGCCGGTCGAGCAACAGCATGAGGCACTGCAGCGCCGGCCAGAACGCGCTGATGTTGCTCGCAGTACCATCTTCACATCCGCGGTGGCCGTGGTGGCGACAACAGCAGCAGCAGCAGCAGCAGCAACAGCAGCAGCAGCGGGAGCAACAGCAGCAGCAGCGGGAGCAACAGCAGCAGCAGCAGCGGGAGCAACAGCAGCAGCAACAGCAGCAGCAACAGCAGCAGCAACAGCAGCAGAAGCAACAGCAGCAGCAACAGCAACAACAACAGCAGCATTAACAGCAGTGACAGCAGCAACAGCAGCAACAGCAGCAGCAGCAGGGTCGTGAGCAAGCTCCTCCACAACGCCGCTCGTCGTCGCTTGAAGCCACACGCCCAAGCACAACCCTGGACCGGTGCGCTCTTGTAAACCTTGGGACGACGCGAGTTCACCAAGCCCCCAAACGGAGTTCAAGACAACTCAAAACACCTCCTAACACGGAGGCACGGAGGAGTTAGCAGCAGCGCCTTTGAAGGCCGGCACGGCACTTGAGGGTAAGGTGGGTTTCCCAGCACCATGCCCGGCTCCCAGATGCAAAGACACAGACAGACAGAAACACAGACAGACACACGGACAGACAGACACACAGAAACACAGACAGACAGAAACACAGACAGACACACGGACAGACACACACACAGACACACAAACACACACACAGACATGAGAGAGAGAGAATTCCAGCATGTAGTGAAGTCGTCTCACCGGTGGGAGACATTTCTAGCGTGTGCATGATGGCCTGCACCAGGTCGGCCTTGCGGTCCACTCCCAGCAGCAAACTCTCCATGGCCTGCTCCTCCAGGAGACTCAGCAACATGCACACACCTGGAAACAACAACAACACACCTTAGGCCAACAGCAGCAACACTTGGGTAGAGAACAACAACAACACCATGGGTGCCACAAAACTGCCGTGGCCCCCTCTGCGCGGTGGGCAGCGGGGTGAGACGTTACCCAGCCAGTAGCTCTTGTGGTTGGTCGGGTCGAAGAGATGGCGCGGCAGCAGCATCAGCGCCAGCGACGAGTTTCCGCCGCCGCCGCCGTCTACTTCGGCGGCGGCCTCCAGGGCGGCGCTGTAGAGGTCGGGGTTGATGAACGGGTTGATGTCGACCACGCGCAGTAGGCAGCCGATCACCTCCGCCAGGTCGTAGTAGTCGTCCCGGCTGATGCGCCCCATTTCACGCGCCGTCAGCAGAGCCCACTTGCGCACCTGGCGGTGGTGGCGGTGTGTCCGCGTGTGTGACAGCGTGTGTGTCGGCACAATAGGGGGCACAGGTGGTGCATCAGCCAGTCATCTCGGTCATCTCAGTCAGTCGACCCGTGGCACCTGGGTCTGCCCCGTGAGCTCCTGCCAGCGGGCGTTCGACACCTCACGTGGCCTCAAGGTGCACATGGCCTGGCACAAGCGTCGTGGTGACGTCACCGCCACTTAGTGGTGAATGGCGGTTGTTGCTGTATGTGTGTGTGTAACAGAATGTCCGTGTGTGTGACAGTATGTCCGTGTGTGCGTGTGGCGGTGTGTCTGTGTGTCCGTGTGTGCGTGGCGTTGCGGTGGCAGTGGTGGTCGTGATGGTGGCAATGGTGGCGATGGTGGCAGTGGTGGTAGTGATGGCACTGGTGATGGTGACAATGGTGATGGCGAAGATTGGGGTGGTGGTGGTAGTGATGTGGGGAGTGTTTGTGCAGTGGTTAGCACGCTGCGCTACGAACTCGGCCACCCGAGTTCGATTCCCGCTTACGGCCAACACCAGTGACGATTATCTGAACCGATCCTGGGCCTCCTCTAGGTCAACTCAGCCTCAAATGAGTACCTGGTATGGTGTGTAGTAAACGTCACCACTGGAGAGACAAAGGTGGCCCCTAGCGTGGCGCTGGTCACCCACCCCCTCATGTCCCGTGCCGTTCTTCATAGGTGCTTGCTAGGAGCACTTGCCCCAATAGTCTGTTAAGGCTATACAGGGGGATCTTTGTCTTTGAGCGATCCCCACTCACCCAGAAGGGACCAGGATTCAATTCCCGATCAGGGAGCATTTCTGCGTGGAGTTTTGCCTCTTCTACCTCCGTTCTATAAAAGGACAGTAAAACCTTGGATTGCGAGTAACTTGGTCTGCAAGACGAGCAAATAAAAAAAAATGTACTTGATAAATGAGCGAGGTCTTGCAATACGAGTAGTATGTAGACGCTTTGTCTGCCGAGCGTCACGTGATCACAACTGAGCCGATGGTTCTTCTCTCTCTCTCGCTGCAGGATTGTGGGTAATCTTCTCCCATGCTCGGTCTCAGTCGGCGTGCCTCACTCGTATAAATAGTGAACTATTTGTCTTTTGTCAACATGACATTTTTTACTGATTGGCCGTGTGGGGTGGTGGAGGGTTACGACACATTTATAAATAATATAGCCCCCGCTCTCGGGATATTTTACCAGGTAAAGTCCTACTGCTCTGTGCAGCTTCTTTTTTAGAAGCCCTCAACCTAACATTCACAAACGATAGCAGCTCAACAAACTGGCAGCTTATCATCATCATGACAACGTGGAAATGCAAAGCAGCAGCCGAAAAGTCGTAATCCGCACGACGTCGATTCTAAATGCGGATTTGTTGAAACAATTGAACACGTAACGCTATCGCGACCAATATTATCGACCAATTCGAGTACTGGGTTTACTCTGCAACACACAACTGGTTAGTGCTGTACTAGTGTAGTGGTGATACGCGCTGGGGTAGAGATTGTGTGCCAGCGCGTAGTGATTGGCTGTGTGTGTTGGTGACGCGCGCTGACGGTGAAGGATCAGGGGTCAGCGTGGGGTCGGGGGTTATGACGCAGTGATTGGCTGGGTATCGGTGACGTGCGCTGACAGCGATGGGATCCTGGGGCAAGCGCGCGGGGATTGGTCAACTAAGGGGGATGCTCACGTCGAGGTCCGCATACGCTCCGTCTCCCGAGAGCGGGGGCTATATAAGGTGGTGCGCACAGGCGCAAAGGGAGTTGGTGACCAGCGAAGACTGAAGACGGAGGAGGAAGAGATAGGGCCCTGCGGCACCTAGTCCCGCTGTCCTTGTAAGGGCCGGGGCTCTGTGTGACCCAGAGGCGGGACCCTGGGACCCGGGGCCGAACGTCCGTGTGAGGGCCGGCCCTCGGGACCCAGAGGTTGTGACCCACGCCCAAGCTGGGGTGGGCCTGGAGGCTCCACGGACGTTACGGGGCTGGAGTGCAGTGTGAGCATGCAGTGTGAGCATGCAGCGTGAGCCATAGTAACTACACGTGTCAAGTGGAGTGTGTAGTGGGAAAGGTAGTGACCACACGTGTCAAGTGAAGTGTGTGTAGTGTGAGGAATAGTGACCACACGTTGTATCGTGACAAGTCAAGGTTTAATAAAAAGTGTGCTACCCGTCAAGAGGTTTCCTGCCGTCATTCCGATACTTCACTAGTATAAACAATACACCACACTATAATTGTTAACGCAGTAGTGGGTTTACTCTACAACACACAACTGGTTAGTGCTATATTAGTGTAATGGGTTCCGGAGACACTTGTAGATGTAACTTCTTTATTACGATTCAACACTCCAACTCTCCAACAGTCCTGATACTCTGTTACAGCCTAGGTACACAGCCTAGGTACATAGCCTAGATACACTACTCTGGCTACGCTCTGGAACTCGCCTCACAAGGTCGTAGAGTCGGGAGTTCCAGAGTCCCACCACTGGCTCTCACAGCATCCCAGGGTCCTCCGATGGCTGGTCTTGGGTCTTGGGTCTTGAGCTACGACTGGCCCTGATCGTCCAGGGAGCTCCGCTTTTATGCCCAGTCCCCAACGAGGGGTGGGGCCGTGTGCGCCCCCAGATATCCCACAGAGCACACACAGCCCCCCCCTTTGGCGGCGCCAAGGGAATTAAGCGCCTGGGAACTCAACGCCTGACGCCAAGAGGCTTAAGCGTCTGACCCGCCTGAGAACCCACCGCCTGGTGCCAAGAGGCTTTAGCGCCTGGCCCACCCAGGGTCCCAGAGCCCCCAGCAGCCCCTCCCTTCTTATGTCACTACATTACCCCCCTCTACGTAGCCTCCAACCGTCCCGGCTGTCAATAATTAGAAAGTTTAAATTAATGAAAGGGAGAGAGAGAAAAAAAATACGCGAGCCTCAACAGGAAAAGAAAAGAGAACAATAAAGCAACCATAAATACCATAACCAACCTGTACAACTTTACACTATATACAAGCATCAATCAACAAAAAGGTGAAGCAATGACATGTGAACAAACGACCCGCGGCACACCTAGCCCTCCTCGGGATCCGCATAGAAAACGGGGAATTAACAACAACAAATATACAGATTCCGACGCGTTGGATGCACAACCAACACCGGTAATCGAACCGAAATCACACAATCACCGCATGGATGGCAGGGATCCACACCACCCTGCCATCCTCCCATCCGTCAGGTGGTGAGAAGGCGAAGACCAACATGTCTATCACCCCTCTACACACACTTATCCGGACGTCTGTCTACGTCCCGGGTCGAGAAGTCGTACTTCAGGGCCGACCCATGTACTGGGCAAAGAAGTCGCACTTCAGGGCTGCTCCAGTATCTACATTTTAAAATATATATATAAAATTGACATGACACAAACAAAATAAATCTGCCTGCTCCTGTCCATAAATGGTGGCCGCACGCACGAACCGCATCTCCAAAAGGCATTCCGTGCTTGCGTCCCAGCAGCCCTCAATGAGGACCACCACCGACATTACATGTCAACCGTTAGCACCCCCCGCCTTTCCAACATGGCGCCTCCATCCTAAAACTGCGCACGTCGGCCATATCGGGGGGGAATTTTTGTGTTACCACCCCACCGCCTTTCCGACGCGGCATCACAACCAGTAGCACGCGTCGGCCAAATCGGGGGGCTTCAACCCAGTCTCTCTCCAAGACTCGCATCGCAGCATATAGCTGTACCGACCGAGCTGAGACCCAATCTCTCTCCAAGACTCGCATCGCAGCATATAGCTGTACCGACCGAGCGGAGACCCAATCTCTCTCCATGACTCGCATCGCAGCATATAGCTGTACCGACCGAGCTGAGACGACCCAATCTCTCTCCAAGACTCGCATCGCAGCATATAGCTGTACCGACCGAGCTGAGACGACCCATCGTTCACTCCCTGCACAACATGCACCCTAACAACTGAGGGATACAGTCCCAACGTAACGGGACAACTACACCTGAACACCACGAATCTCCAGCCCACTGTTTCAATGCGCCTCGGAGTGTTTCAATCTCCGGGCCGTCAGGGCGAGCCTACTGCTCCAGACGCACCACGGAGGGTCTCAACCTCCGGGCCGTCAGGTCAAGCCGTCAGCTATTCCATGACGGGACCACACTCTCCGAGCCCTGTGAGTGCACAGCCCACTAGGCTAGACATGCCACGGAGTGTTTCAATCTCCGGGCTGTCAGGTCAAGCCGTCAGCCATAGCATAACGGGACCACACTCTCCGAGCCATGTGAGCACACAGCCCCCGAGGCTAGACATGCCACGAAGTGTCTCTATCTCCGGGCTGTCAGGTCAAGCCGTCAGCCATAGCATGACGGGAGAACAACTCTCGTGTTAGACACGCAACACCCGCTGGGCCATCCTGGTCAGGATCTGCACCCCAAGATATTTGAGAGCCAGCATGACAATTCCAAATCCTTGGCAGCATGTCACCATCTCAAGATAAATGCCCCATACAGTATATACATCGTTAACAATGACAGCACAAGCTATACATTAACAATCACGAACACAGCTCAATACAAACCATACATTAAATTTCGATTTAAAGCTTTCGTGACTGCAGGGATTCATCTTCTTGGTTCTTTCGGTAAAGTCACGTAAAGTCCCTTCTACGTGACTTTACCGAAAGAACCAAGAAGATGAAACCATACATTGTTAACAATCACAAGCAAAGTTTCGTACATACATTGACAACACTCACGAGCGAAGCTCCACACAGTTTACCCAACAACAGTCACGACTCCCCGACGACAACGAAGAAAATATCAACAAAAAAATCATTAATCCGGAGCGCGTAAATGTACGAAGTGTCAGGGGCCTGGTCTCCCGACCTCCAACCTTTGGCCAGAGCAGCAAAGGCGGCGACCAGCATGTCGGTCGATGTGCCGGCCCCGGCGCCGGTTACAGTAAGAATGGTGCCCTCACTGTCCGGTCGCAGCGCT